GCCCCTGCCCCGTTCCCACCAGGTCCACCTGGGGCTGAGCCCTGGCCTCCCATCTGGCTCCACAGCACCCTGGCACCCCACCACACACGGCACCGTGACTGGGCCACGTGTGTAATACCTGTTTAGTGAAACCAACCAGCACCCTTTTGCAGGAAGACCTTATGCTCACACCTCAGAGACGTGAAGATGTACCCCTTGCCTGGAGGGTCATTCGTGAGCCTACCACTTTTCAGCTGTGGACTCTATTTGATTACTAGCTGGGGGTGGGAGACGCCCAGAGCCAGTGGCTAAGGCAGTCAGGTCCCACGTGGCCAACTGTGGTTCGAATCTTGGCCCCACTGGCTTTTAAAAGACACCAGATGTGTGTGTGTGTGCCCCAAGTCCTAACAGGATGTGAACATGGAGGAGGGACTGCCGTGTGACCATGCCCTCCTGGGGTGCTTCTCCCTCTCCATCCCTCTCTAGTGCACAGTGCCCTCTGGCCCTTTTTAAAACGTAGTTGCAGGGTCGCGTCATGGAAGCAGTGAAGCAGGCCGGAGTGGCTGGGCCTCTGCACCCCTCAGCCCTTCTGCAGGACTGGTCACAGGCAGGGACTTGATGTCTGCCCCTGAAGGTCTGTGACACCCAGGAGCCTCCGACTCAGACTAGAATGTGGCCAGAAGCCAGGTCTGTGTATTCTAGGGCTTCTGTCTCCAAGTCTGGGATTCGAAGAGAGGGTGGGACCATCAGGGCTGATGGCTCGGCGCGAGTGGCCACAGCACTGCGTTAGCGGCCAGTGCGTCTGACCGGGCCACTCTGCTCCTGCGGGCTATGGGTGCAAACCCTTCTCCACCTCGTGCTGCTCTGGCAGTGGCTTCCTCTCCAGGCTGATGACCAGGTCCGACTTTGGGGACAGGGAGAAGCCCTCCGTGCTTCTCCGCCCTTGGCTTCTGCACCTCTCTCCAGCCTCAGGGACCTTTCGGGGCAGTCTGTGCACATCAGGGAGCCAGCGGGGAGGGATGGCAGCCTGCCGAGCAAGGGTCAGCGGGCGAGACGTTTCAGCAGGCGCCGCGGTCACACGGTGTCCTTGAGCACATCCTGAGGGGCCAGCAGGTGGTGTGGTCAAGGTGTGGGACTCCCACATGGCCTACCCTGGTTCCGGTCCTGGCCTTGGCAGCCTGAACACAGTGCTGGCACGTGTACGTGCGTGCCCAAAGTCCCAGAAGGAGGATGGAGACAAGGTATTGCAGCGTGGCCATGGCCCCGGGGATGATTTCCTTCTCTCTGTCTCTCTCTGGTGAACACACACAACCTATGGCTCAAACCGTAAGGAGACAGAAGAGCCTCTGACCCTGGCCGCACTAGCTGACACCGTGCCTGAGGGTGACAGGGCAAGCCCCGGTGCTGCTCGGTGCTTGGTGCACGGCAGACTGTGCGCCTCCTCACCCTCTCCTTCACCTGGGTATCTAACGCTGTAATACTCGCAGTGGTTCATAAATGGATATTTTCTGAGCATGCACACGAGAAAGCAGGCTTACAAAGATTAGTGACCCAGGTTGTCCGTCTGTGCTGACAGGGTTGGGAACCTCAGTCTGTCTGTTTCCAGAAGGCCGGGCTCCTTCTGTGTCAGTTGGATGCCCACAGCAGTAAGAGTGTGTGTGTGTGTGTGTGTGTGTGTGTACACATGCACGTGTGCGCCTCTCTCATAGGTGGTTGGCAGTGCAGGCAACTCTGACCTGTTACAGAGTCCCACTCCTGGTGTGGACAGAGCCCTGGGGAGCTGCATAGGCCACTGGGCCAGGGCCCTGGGAGGACACTCACAGGCGCTGCTCCCCTGTCCGGGGCCAGCTCCCCAGGCCCTGGTGGGAGAGGGGCTAGCTGCCGAGCCCCCTGAGGGGAGAGCCCGTAAGAACAAGAAGAGGGAGGCATTCTCCTTTTGGAAACCAGGAAGACGTTTCCTCTTTCTCCCACCCCATCGAAAGCCCCAGGGCATCTGTTCAGTGTTCGTGGCCCCTGTGCTGTGACTTGCAAAGGTGGTTCTGCCCACTGGTCTGTGTCTGCATAAAGGAAACCCACGCTCGCATTAGAGCTGGGGCATCTCGTGGCATTGCCGCAGGTGTGCGACTGCTCGAGCTCTCGTCGGGGTCTCCAGCCGACGCTGCCTGACTCGTAAAGACCAGGCTTTGCTTCGGTGTTTGTCTCATCAAGACTCACCCTCGGGTCATGCTCAGGAAGGCTGCTGCCATCAGAGTGTGCCCACAGGACTGCTCGTGCGAGGGGCGAGGTGCAGGCAGCCACAGGGCGCAGTGAGGACCGCGTCACCCCTCAAGTGCAGCCTGGGAGCTGTCTGCCAGCCCCCAACAGCTCGCATTCTAGGGGACGTTCTGTGCAGCGAGGACCAGATGTTCCAGTGAGGGGGACTTGGACAGAGCGGCAGTGCTCCAGGAAGCAGGAGAGTCACAGCGCTTCTTCCAGGCCTCATGTTCCCGAAGCCTTCCTGCTGGGGACCGGTCCTGCTTCAGTCCTTTTCCACTCCTCCCCTTCCTGGATCTTGGCACGCACGCACACGCCCGGCATGTTTTTCAAGCGGCTGAGTCCGAGACTGGAATCACAGAGCCACGTGGGACCTGGCCACGGTAACCACCACACACTGACCTGCTGAGGGAGTTTCCTTAGGGTCTTTGCGGTGACACTTTTGGATTGGGTTCAGGATGTCCCCCAGCCCAACTCCTGGTGAGTCCCCTAACCTGTGAGCTCCCAGACCAGCCCAGGAACCTTAGTGCTGGTTGCTGTGGATAAAAGCCCTTTACTTAAGGCCTTCTTGCCCCACAGATTGGAAATCCCACTTCCCGTTAGGCTGAGAAACCCCTCACTCCCATGGCCTGGCCTTGAAAGGGGAGCCGTGGGCAGCAACCTTAGTGGTGGTTGCTGGTCCAACGCTGTGGATAAAAGCCCTTTACTTAAGGCCTTCTTGCCCCACAGATTGGAAATCCCACTTCCCGTTAGGCTGAGAAACCCCTCACTCCCATGGCCTGGCCTTGAAAGGGGAGCCGTGGGCAGCAGAGCTGTGCCGGTGACTGCGGCCGGCATCCCCCGGAGACCCTGCTGCTCAGACTTGGCACAGAGCGAGCCGGGTTCTTTACCCAGGCGGATGGGAAGGAGAGCAGCAGGTGCTTCCTTTACAGCCTCCGTCTCTGGGCATGTACTGGGCAGGAAATGGCCAGGCCCCGTCAGCAAGGAGGGAAAAGGCCTCCTGTCTGCCGTCCTGTCCACCTGCTGTGCCTGGCGTGGGCCCAGCATGAGACACTGCCTCACACACCAAGCTCTGGATGCAGCAGTGCTGGCTGTCCCCGCGTGTGCCCCGGCTGCACGGAGGGGGCTCTGGGTGTCCCCGTGTGCGCTCCCGCTGCACAGAGGCAGCTGCTGCCCACAGTGAGCTGACAGCACCCGCCAGGACAGACAGAGCCATGGATGGACAGACACGTGCCACCTCTGGGCCACTCATTCAGCCTGGATGTGGAACGTCGGTGCTGCTCCGCTGGGGCAGGGCACAGCATTGAGAATGGCAGTCCAGGGATGCAGGGTCCCAGGGAGGGGACACAGTGACTGCGACCCGCGGGTGGAGGAAGCGTGAGGACTGTGTGAGCGGTGCACGCCATGCCTTCAGAAAGTTCGTGGAGATGCGTGTTGGGCCCAGCCCCACTGCAGTTAAGTTCTGTATGGAGGGAGTCAGCACACGTGGCCGGTCACAGTTTGAATCCTAGACCCAACAGCTTGAAAAACACCAGCCCTGGGACCAGCCATTGGTGTAATGGCTATGTCGCTGGCCTCCCATGTAGCCGACTGTGGTTCAAGTCCTGGACCCGGTGGCTTAAACTCACGCGAGGCGCGTGTGTGTGTGCATGCCCAAGATCCCGAGAGGAGAGTGGAGGAGAAGGGATTGCAGTGTGGCTATCCCCCCTGGGGGGTGATTTCTCACTTTCTGTCTCTCTGTCTCTCTATGTCTTTCTGGCAAGTGCACGTGCCCTATTAAAAAAAAAAAAATACCAGCCCTGATCTTTAAGCCCTTTCATTGTGGGACTTAGGCGGGAGAACAGAAAAGATGAGTATAAAGTGGGTTTTCTGTTTGTGTTTTGTTTCGTTTCCAGTTTTGCCAGAGGTTGCGTGTGTCACGGTGGAGGGGTGGCCACACAGCAGTGCCTTCTCCTCCTTTACTCCCTCCTGTCGGGATTTGGGACGCACGCACATGTCTTTCCAAGCTGCTGAGTCTGGGACTCAGACCACACGGCAGCCCCGTGGGAGCCACTCCCTCCCCCGCCCTCCCAGCGGCTGCCCGCGTTCTCATTAGGGTGCAGTGGAGACTCTTCCGTAGCTTTCCCATGGAGGGTGCAGTTGAGGTGGGCTCTGTAAGTGCCGTTTCTGTGGTGGTTGAAGTGTGTGGGCCCGTGCATCTCACCTGCGTCTCTCCTGAGACGCCATCGTCACGTCCTCTCTGTCGGCACACGTGGCCCCTTAGACCCTGATAAGTCCTTAGGGCAGGAGGCACGCCTCGCCCTCTTCCCAAACGCCTGCCGTAACAGCACGTCGGTCGTGAGCAGCCCCGCACAGCTGCTGCTGACCTGTGCGTCGGAGGCGGGGTGTGAATCCTCCTGAAACTGACCGAGAAGTAGCCCTTCCTGGTTGGGCCACGGAGGAGGAGGGAGCGGCCGACCTGCAGTGACGAGGGACGGAGGGACAGCAGCTGCCAGGCAGGCCCCACTCACCTGGAGTCCTCAGGTCGGGTGCTCCAGGGCTGCCGCTGCGTACGTGGAACGCCCACCCACGCGGAGCCGGCCTTGGCTGAGCACAGGCACAGGGGCAGGGACCTGCTGCCTGGCTGTGGGCTCCTCAGACCACTGCTGCCCCGCTACTGGGGATGACCTCCAGGCAGCACGGGCCAGGGGCCACGTCCCAGGCTGCACACCGGCACGGTGCGCGGTTGGTTTGCTCCCCCTCACCTCTGTACGTGTCGTTCTCTGCAGGTGGAATTGGCTGTGTAGGTCGAGACCGGGGCCAGGTTCGAAAATGCCTGGACGAGGTGGAGATCTACAACCCAGATGGGGACTTCTGGCGAGAGGGCCCACCCATGCCCAGTCCCCTGCTCTCGCTTCGGACCAATTCCACCAACGCGGGTGCTGTGGACGGGAAGCTCTACGTCTGCGGGGGATTCCACGGGGCAGGTACTTGTCCGGCCTAACTGTCCGTCACCCCTCAGGGTGGGTCTGGCCCTGACTGCCCTCACCATGTGTTCTGAGAGCCCCGTGAGCACGGTGGGAGCCTGGCTTTTCCACGCGGGGACCTTGGGCGACTGCCCCAGCCTCTGGACCCAGGTGTCCGTGTCTGTAGCCACGCCCACAGGCTGCTGCTAGATGGACGTGGCAGAGGCTCGGTGCGTGGCGGTGAGTGTGGGCGGACGTGGGAGAGGGCGACGTCCGAATGGCAGGACTGTGGGAGAGCAGACGGAAGCAGGTGACAGGGCCCCAGGGGCCTTGCCCGTCGGGCTGGTCAAGGACCTTGCCCTCAGAAGGCGTTTGCTGCACCGCTTCCGTGTGGAGGAGGTCGCCGGGCGTGGTGCCGAGGCCGGCCGGGTGCGCACACTCGCCACTCGGCCTCGCTGTCCCTGGTACCTCTCGCCTTGTGACGGGAGGCCGTGTCACTGCGGTGCACGGGGCTCCGGAGTTCATTGGTCGCAACGGGAGTACGCACTGCGAAGCGTCGAGGAAGCCCTGGGACCAGCAGACGGCATAACGGGTGTGTGGCTGGACACCCACGCAGTCGACCGTGGTTCAAGTCCCAGACCCAGTGGCTTAAGACTCACGCCAGGCACATGTGTGTGCCCAAAATCCCAAGAGGAGGAGGGATTGTGGCATGGCCGTTGTCCGCGGGGGGCGATTTCTCACTCTCTGTCTCTCTCTGCCTCCCTGGTGAGCTCTCTATAGCAAAAATTTCTCTGAAAAAAAAAAAAGAAAAGACAAAGTTTATAGCCTCATGTGTATATATTAGAAGACATTAAGAAATGAAAATAAAATAAATAAGCACCCATCTCAAGAAGGTGGGAAAAAGGAACTCTCAAGAGGGCCACCTGGTGGCATGGAGGTTACAGTGGCTGGGCAGCACATGGCCGACTGTGTGGATGGAGTCCAGGCCCCCGGTGTGCGCATGTGTGGCCAAAATCCTGGGAGGAGAGTGCAGAAGGGGTCGCAGTGTGGCCACCCCTGCAGGAAGGGACTTTTCACCTTCCTTCTCTGTCTGTCTCTCCAGCAGCACATGCACCTACTGTAGAACTAAAACAGGGCACAGCGAGCATAAGGTGACCCCAGAGAAACAGAAGACACCTTAGGTGGGGTGGTCAGGGCGCTGCTTCCCACGTGGCAGCTCCACAGCAGCTTGAGAGACATGCCAGACGCGTGTGCTTGTGCGTGTGCCCGTGCCCAAGACCCCGGAAGGAGGAGGGGAAGGGGTTGCAGTGTGGCCGTCCCCCAGGAGTGACCTCTCGCTTCCCTCTCTTCCTCTCTCTGGTGAGCACATGAACCATATGGCAAAAACCTAAAAAAAAGAACATGCAGGGCTGGCCCCGTAGTCCAGGGGGTAACGGAGGCGGACCCCACATGGCCACCCAAGATTCTAGTCCTAGCCCCGGGGCTGAAATGCACGGCATGTGTGCATGTGCCATACCCTGGCAAGGAGACCTAGGGGGAGGGACTGCCCCACCAAAGGGTGCTGTCTCCCTCACCCTCCCTGTCTCTCTGTCTGTCTCTGTCGAGCACACGTGCCCTCCGGCAGTAAAAACAAACAAATGTGTAAACAGAGGAAGTGTCGGCCAGGGACCCACAGAGAGAGCAGGGAACCTGGGGGATGTGGAGGAAGCCTGGGGCGCCCACACAGACGGGGAAGAGCGACCTCAGAGCTTGAGAGTTAGACGTGGAGGAGAGCAGTGGATGGCAGCAGACTAAGCCACCCCGGGGAGAACAGCCAGCCGGCCGTGGAGGGGCCAGGCAGCTACCAGCGGACGGTGCTCGTGGCGAGAATGCCGCGGGGGTGGGCTCCAGTACCATGCCGGCCAAACCGCCATGATGCCGGGACAGTGGGAACGAGGCAGGCAGACCTGGGCTGGGGGACGAAGGCCCCACCTGCACGCGAGAAGTGAGGGGGGCCGGAGCTCGGGGCCGGGAGTCAGCCGGAGCCGGGGGAAAGCAGTGGCCGGGAGCCAGGAGTACCGGTACACGGTGCGGCTCCAGTCTGTGAACCTGCGGCTGCTGAAACAAAAACGGGTCGTGAAGACCTGCTGCAGGACAGGGCGGCAGCAGCGCCGGGAGGGACAGTGCGGAGGCCAGGGAGGGCGCACGGGCTGCCCGGGACGGGGTGGTCGAGGGACGGTGCACAGCTCCCTCGTGTGGAAGGCTGGCTGTGACTGTGGCCTGGCTCCCTGACGCTGTCGTCAGGGACGGGCAGAGCTGGTCCCCTGCGGTGGTCAGGGTTCGTGTTTGACCCTGATGAGGAGACCAGCCGCCTGCCTGTGGGAGGGCTGGAGGCGAGCTCTGAGTGGAGCAGGCGGGAGGCGGCTCCTGAGACCGCGACGGTGGCTGTGGCGCTGAGTGGCAGAGACCTGTCCCCGCCGTAGGAGCACAGCGGGACGGCCTCTGGGCCCGGAACCTGGGGAGATTCCTGTGCATGCCTGCACATGGGACTGCCTGCAGGGACCTGCGGGCTTGGACGGTGGCAGCTTGGTGACGGCCAGGACGAGCCATGCATCGCCCCAGGGTGTGGTGTGTCCCTGCAGGAGGGGCTGCCAGGCCCACTTCGGCTGCTGGCTCCTGAGATGCAGTTAAACCTCCTTTCTGGGCTCTGCCTCTGTCTCTGCGCTTTGGACTCCCCCAGTTCCACACCAGGACCTCACCACACCCCTACACAGCCCTTCACACACCCCTCTGCAATCTGTAGCCCCCTTCCCTCCCAGGACTCCGGGGCGGCCGCAGGCAGGTGGAGGGTGCAAGGGCCTGTGTGTGTTCGTCCCGCCCCGTGCTGGCTGTCCACGTGGGCCCGGGCTCTGCATCGACCCATGGGGGCCTATACCATCTCCCTGGCTGACTCCCAGAGCACCCGCCAGTGTGCTCACCCCTGCCTCATCCCCTCCGGACCTTTCCTCCTGCACCCAGGACCGGGAAGAGCACCGCTTCCCCGTCTGCCCAGCAGGAAGTTCTGCCGAGTCCGCCCCAGGCCAGCCTGCAGACCAGTCTCCGTGCTGGAGAGGCTGAAGATGAGCTGTTGGGAAGGGGAGAGGCTGTGAGGGCTCGAGAATGGGCTCTCGCACTGGCACACAGGCCCGGCTGGCAGCCGGCAACCACCTGGCCGGGCGTGGCTCTGAGCACCGGACGGTCTGCAAGGCGGGTACCGTGAATACCCTTATGTTGTGGGTGGGGACACTGAAGCCACCTGACAGGGTTACCGTTGACTATGGCTCTCAAACCTACGTAGTCTGGCTGCCAAGTCTCTCTTTAACCAGTAGACTAAACTCTCTCCACACCGACAGAGTAAGTTAGGATATTTAGGGCGGAGCTGAGTATCAACATTTTAAAAGAAATCTTCACATCTTAAACTTTTCTTTAAGTTTATTCGTATAGGGCCAGGGGATAGTGTAGCAGTTATGTCACTGGACTCCCACAGGGCCACCCATGGTTTGAATTTTGGACCCAGTGGCTTAAAATCACGCTGGATACATGTGCATGTGTGTCCAGGATCCCAGGAGAATGGAGAGGGGCTTGTGGTGTGGCCACCCCCCACAAGGGGTTGATTTCTTTCTTTCTTTTTTTTGTTTTAAATTTTATTTCTTTGTTCATTTTATTTTAATTTGACCAGAGACAGACAGAGAGAGAGAGAGAGAAAGCCGCCAGGCCCAGGACTTGAACCGTGGTCGGCCGTGTGGGGTGTCCAGCGCCTTTACCACCACGCCACCTGCTGGTCCCGATTTCTCACTCTCTCTCTTACGCCTCTGTCCCCCCGGCCCCCCATGAGCACATATGCCCTAAAGTAAAAACCTCTAAAAAAAAAGTGTATATATTTAAGTCTTCCATGAGAGAGACAGAAAGAGAAACAGAGAGAGACAGAGATAGAGAGACAGAAAGAGACAGCCCACCAGCGGATTTTTCATGCTGCAGCATGCCAGCCCCTGCCAACCCCACCATGGCAGGGATGCCCCGTTCTCAGGGAGGTCTGCGGACGCCGCCATAGTAAGTGGGGAGCAGCCACGCCGGAGGGTCAGCCCCGTAGTGTGCAGCAGACCACCACGCCCCAGGGCTCAAATCCTGCCCATGGTGGCTTGGAGAGCGTGTACATTCACGTGCATGTCCCCAGTCCCAGCAGAGGGCCTGCAGTAGGCCGTGCCCACGGAAGGCAGGGGGGAGCCAGCCCCTGACAACGCGTCAGCGCACAACAGGCCACGCTGTCCCTCCCGAAAGGTGGGGCACTGGAGGTGTTGACGCTCGGCTGCCACCTGGCCCCTCGTGGGCTGAGAGTCCCCAGGCCGAGCGTCAGATGGGGCTGCTGTCCTGGAACAGCAGTCACAGAGGGGCAGGCTGACGGGACACTCGCCATCTCTGCCATGTTGTCCCAGCCGAAAGACCCACCAGGTGCATATGCATGCCCAGCCCCGCCAGGATGGAGAGGGAGGAGGGACTGCAGCGTGGCCAAGCTCGAGAGGGGCGTCCCCATCCTGCCTCTCTGGCAGGTGCGTGCGTCCTCTGCAGAGAAGTGTACCAGGAGGTGTGCCAGTGCACGTCCTCCGTCCCAGACACCAGGAGGCAGAGCAGGACAGCGGCAGGGCGCATAGCGGGCGACGTGGCCAGGCCTGCCAGAGGGAGCTGGCTTGGGCGGCCGAGGCCGGGCCACCCAGGCTGAGGCAGGGGCTCGCAGCACAGCAAGGCTGTGTCCAAATGCAGCCACCCCGCTCTAGCCGAGCCAGGTGTGTGCCGTGCTCCTCGGGCTTCTCCTGGGAAAGTGTAGGAACAGGCGCAGTCAGAGACTCAAGGTTAATTAAATGAAATACTAAAAATACTCAAATAATTGGAAAAGAAGATATGAAAGGACCAGCAGTTAGCGTAATGGCTATGTCGCTGGACTCCCACGTAGTCGACCGCGGTTTGCGTCCCGGACCCGGTGGCTTAAACTCACGCCAAGTGCTTGTACATGCATGTCCAGATCCCAAGAGGAGAATGGAGGAGAAGGGATTGCGGCGTGACCATCCGCCCTGGGGGTGATTTCTCGCTTTCTGTCTCTCTGTCTCTCTGTCTCTCTCTGTCTGTCTGGCGAGCGCACGCGCCCTATAGCAAAAACCTCTCCAGAGGGAAAAAAAAAAGCATGAAAGGAGAAACCGAAAAAGAAATAATAAAATAGAACTAAATGCAAATGTCCCTTTATGGATATTATGCCACCTGCTGGTCTCTTCTTGTATTTTTAAAGACAGAGTTTTGCTATAGGACCTGTGCGCTTGCCCTAGAGACAGACACGAGTATGTCAGCTGTAGCCACTAAAGCTGCCCAGCCCAGCCCAGCACCATTGTCAGGGCTTTTCCTGGAAGGCCCACACCCTCCCCTCGTGTGGGCTGCAGTCATCGTGTGTGGTGTAGTCACACGAGATAAGTGTCCCGTGGCTCAGGAAACCACAGCCACTCGGCACTGTCCACAGAGATGCATTGAATACAGCGGCACAGGGGGCTGGGAGTGAAGGAAGGAAGACCTACCATGTGGGGCACAGGCCAGCAGGTGGCATGGTGCTTAAAGTGCTGGCCAACTCTGCACTTCGAGTCCCGGGCCTGGCAGCTTGAAAACCTGGCTGGTGGTGTGTGCGTGCATGCCCAAGATCCTGAGAGGAGACTGGAGAGGGGACTGCAGCACGGCCCTCCCCTGGAGGCGATGTCTTACCCCCCGCCACGCCTCTGTCTCTGGTGAGTGCATGTGCCCTATAGTCAGCGTAGAGAGAGACCACGAGCGAGCACGCGTGGGCTTCACCGGCCAGCCGAGGTCCATACCAGGGACAGGGTGCTACTTCGGGCCGGCCGGCGCCCTGCGTGAAGGCTGCTGGATCCCATGTGGCCAGGGGTTTGAATCCCAGCCCAGAAACTTGAAGAGAGCCGGGCGCATCTGCACACATGCCCAAAGTCCCAGCAGGAGGGAGCGAGGGAGAAGGGGTGGCTGGTGAGGGGGTTCTGGTGTGCACCCCCACTTTCTGGCACTGAGAACAGGAGACACCTGTGTAAGACTCAAGTTGGAAGTGCCCGCTTAGACCTTCCCAGCATGGGAGGAGGAGGTGGGAACCACAGGAAGAGCACAGGGTCTCTGCAGGTCAGCCAGGGACCCCACGGAGCTAGGCCTGTCTGCCTGTTGTCCCGGCGTCTCGTGGTGGGGACGGGGCCGCTGACCCTCAGCGGTTATTCCAAAAGCAGCAGTGGGAACAGCCAGCGTGTGGCGGGCGCCAGACCCGTCGAGGGCATCACGTGTGATGTGTGGTCATGATGTGACCCGTGGTCCCGTGAGGCAGGTGCTCTTACTGGGGCTACCTTCCAGCGGAGGGCAAGAGGCGCCAACTGGGACCCTGGCCGAGGCGGCCCCCCTTTAACCCTCCCCCTTCGCGCGATAGCTCATGTGTGCGTGAGAGTGAGGGGACCGGGCCACACCGCGAGCCCCCGTCCTCCTGCCCGTCCATCTTGGCGCCCGAGTACGTGCCCGATGGCTTTCAGGCCGACTGGAGGGATCGAACCGCCGACGCCATGTGAGAGCCACGTCTCCCGAGCAGTGCGTGCCAGCCGGCCTGCTCTGCTGCTTCCGTGTTCTCAGCCTTGGGGTGGGAGGAGGGGCTCAGCACGGTGGCGACGGCCGCCAGGCCCAACGGCGTCCTCCCCTCCCTCTGCTTTTCAGACCGCCACGAGGTTATCTCCAAGGAGATCCTGGAGCTGGACCCGTGGGAGAACCAGTGGAGCGTGGTGGCCGTGGACGTCCTCATGCACGACAGCTACGACGTCTGCCTGGTGGCCAGGATGAACCCCCGCGACCTCATCCCCCCGCCCTCCGACCTGGTGGAAGGAGGCCGTGAGCACTGAGGGCTCGCTCGCATCTGCAGCCACTCGGGCCTCACGGTGCACATGTGGCAGCCTGCATGCCGTGGGGCCGCTGGGCCACATCGCAGAGAGCTTGCTCTTCTCCTGGGGACAGGCGATTCGGGGGCCTTGGTTCTTGCCGCAGGGACAGAGCCATTCCTCGGAGTGGGTCACGCCGGCCATGGGAGCCGCATCCTCAGAAGCCCGTCCTCGCCAGCCCTGCGCTCTTGGGCAAAGCAACATCCGCGTCTGCCTCCCTGTGCGGGCAGAGGGGTGCGGCCTACGGTGGGGTGGCACGAGGGCGGCGGTGAGACTTGGACCAGCAGGCCTGCGCTGCTGCCGCGTCCCACCCCGTGACGGCTCTTCCCTCAGCACCGGCCTTTAGAGGGGTGGTGGGGCCGAGGACATGCCTGCCTGTGCTTGGAGGCCGGCGCTCGCTCCCGAGTGGCTGGGGGCAAGAACTTGCTCTGCCCGGGGCCCCTGGTGCTCCAGATGGGCGCCGCTGGGGCCCAAGGGCGGCATCGACGAGACTGTCCCCCCACAGAAGGAACCTGGGATAAACGCCATCCTGCCTGTGCGTCCTGTCACCTGGGCTTCCCACGGTGCTGAGGGACACACGGCCTTCAAACGCAGTGTGTCCCTCACTGGAGGGTGACCACCACGGAGTCGGTGGAGCCTGGACTCCAGGCGGCCACAAGGCGACCCCCGGCTCAGGCAGAGCCCTGAACGCAGGCGGGGCTCCCGGGTCTCCGAAGCCTGCTCTGGGATCTTCCTCCTCTCTGCGTGGCCGACCGCCGTGTGCCTGTAGTCCGACTCGCTCTCCAAAACTGGGAGCCTCCTGCAGCTCAGCCCAGCCGCGATCCGACTCCTCTCCGCCCTGGCCAAGGCCGGCCCAGCCCTCAGCAGCTCTCTGCCTTTGCCACACAGGCTGGCCAGACATGAGCCCGGCCCCGGGGAGCCGTCTGGGTGCCTAGCCGCCCCAGGCGCGTCTGCCAGGCGGCTCCCGGGGCTGCTGGCCATCTTCAGCGAACATGTGTTGGACTCGAACTTGCTGGACACACCTTCACTGATAAAAGGCGGCCCCAGTTCTGCTGCGGTTCAGAGCAAAAAAAAAAACTGCGTTTGAAGGCCGGTGCCTGTGCCCGGGGTGCGGGGATGCGGGGGCAGGGCCGGGTCTCGAGCGGTGGAGGGACCTGAGGGTGCCGGGGACAAAGGGTGACCTGTCACAAAAGGCCCTGGGGCCACAGCAGGAGTCGGGCGAGCAGGTCCCATGAGTACAAGCCTTGGTGCAGCGATCCCGGCAGGGTGGGGCGGGGCAGGAGGTGCTGTGCAGCCACTAGCTGGCTGCAGGGGGTCGGGAGGTTGGCGTGAGGCCAGTGTGCCCTGGGGGTGCCCGGAACTGGGAACCAGGAATATCCATATCCGTAACCTCTAAGCACCGTACAGGCAAGGATGGAGAACTGTGGGGCTAGCAGGTGGTAGCCAGCCGTGGCTCGGGTCCTGGACCTGGTGGTTTGTTCTCTCACTTACCCCTCTCTCTGTCTCTCTCCATCTCTCTCTGGTGAGTGCACGTGGCCTATAGCAAGCTAAAAGAAATAAATAAAACGTAATGTAATAAAATCAAATGGGTAATTCTAATGAAAAATTAAAAGCAGCGATGTGGGGAGGGCGGGCGGTCAGTCCCTACGCAAAGGCTGCTGTGGAGCGCGGTGACACGGTGGTACACATGGCGCTCCAGGACAGCTGGCCGTGGTGAGTGCGTGAGGACACGAGGGCTGAGCCGCGGCTGCGCTTGGGCTCACTGACCTGCAGTGTCTTAGCCCGACAGACCGCGTACGGCAGCTCTCACGCGCTGTCTGGAAGCAGGGGTAACTACCAAACAGCTCGAGGCCGACATGGCTGCTGAGGAAGGGGCTACCTGCGCTCATCAGCTTTCTGGACGTCTCTCAGCTGCCCTGGTTCGTGGACCGCCACTGCGCTCGGCTGAGTTGGAAGGATGGGACTCGAGGGCCTCGTGGCTCCTCCGTGGACACGACGCAGGCGGCAAGCCTTGGCCACGCCCTCCTGGAGGTCAGCTGGGGAGCCCCTGAGCTCGCTCCACCTCCACCGAGGCTCATCCTCGCTGAGCCCCCATAGCTGGGAGGGCCTAAGGTCGATGGTGACCAGTTGGCCCTGAAGGGGCTGGCCGCAGTGTGGCCTGGGGACGAGACCGGCCAGCCCCTCACCCCAAAGGCCGGGGCCGGTCCTGAGCAGGACTGCCTCTTTCCTGGCTTCACCCTACAGGCCCAGTCACGGTGCCCTCCGGTCAGAAGTGGGACAGGGCCACCCCTGTGCATCCCGGGCACCCAGGACAGCTTTCCCCGCAGGTGTGGCGCTCTCTGGCCAACGCTCAGCACCAACTGCCCCAGGCCACGCCCCACGGTGCTGGGTGCCTCGCTTCCTCTCCACTCGCCAAGGCATGCTGCGTCCTCGCCACGCTGGCTGGCCCCAGAGCCGTGGCTGAGCCAGGGAATGGGCATCTCCCCATGGCAGCCAGGCCAGGAAGGGACAGGCCCCAGGGACACAGGTGCAGTGAGCCTTGGCTCAACCTCCTTGGGGCGGTGACCCCAGTCTCCTGGGCCTGGGGAAGGCCTCCCCAGGGTGCGTGACCCAGTGGTGAACGCGAGACGCTTCGCTGCTTTCGTCCTGCACCAGAGGTGTCCTCAGACCCTCTTCAGCCAGAGGGGCTGCTGCGTGGAGAGGGCCTCCTTGTGAGCGTCTTGAACAAACCACAGGAAACCCACCAAGGCCCCACGCCATCCCCCGGGAGTCATGGCCCTCTCCAGGTGACTCCCCCTGGGGCCGGAACTGGCCTGATCCCACTCAGCCCCACCCGTCTGCGGGCTCCTAGCTCGCCTGCCAAAGCCGTGTGGTGTGAGGGGACTGGGAAGGGGACAGGCTGCTGTGCCCCATGTGGTCACCACCACGGCCACTGCCAGTCCCTCTGGCCACCTGCTGTCCTGCGGTGAGGAACAGCACCTCTGAGCACACGGCACTGCTCTGTGTTCATGGCGATGGAGGGACGGGGTGAGGTGCAGAGTGCAGAAAACCTAATAGGGCAAAAGGCCACGTTAACAGGCAGGGAAAGTCTTATGGTCAAAAGATGGCCAAAGGAGATTTTGATTCTATTTACAGTCTGTTTTGAAGCCTCTTAACAAAATCAGAAAACATACTTTCTCTTTTTAGTTTAGTTTTTTTTTTTTTTAAAGAGATTTTTGCTATAGGGTGCATGCACCCACCGGAAAGGTAAGAGACAGAAAGCAAGAGATCACTCCCTGGGGGGATGGCCACGCCGAAATCCCTTCTCTCCTCTCCTCTCAGGATCCTGGGCACGCACACACGCCTGGTGTGTTCCCAGTTGCTGAGTCCAAGACGTCGACTTCAGTGGGCTATGTCGAGTCAGCGACGTAGCCACATGCCACCTGCTGGTCCCAGCATCCTTTCTCTTTTAACATGATTTTTAATACACGGAGGTTACTGCTTCCAGCCACGCGGGAGGGACAGTGGCCTTGCCTGTCCACAGAAACACCTGGAACTGGACAGAATGGATGAAGCGCCTGCTCCAGGCACCTCTGGACCATGCCTTCGGGGGGAGGCAGGTCAGATGGTCCTGCTGTGTCCCAGCTCCCTTGGAGTGGGGGTCGGACAGAGCGGTGCGCAGCCAGAGACCAGCCCTGGGAGGCTGAGGGAGCTGCAGAGTCCTGCCCGGGTCTGGGCAGAATTCCACGAAGCCGGAGGAACTGCCGGGGAGCCCCAGGCCAGAAACCTCCCAGGGCCACATGGGGTGCAGACCAGCCAGAGGGAAGGCCTCACCGACCCCGAAGTCACAGACGCTCCAGAAGGGTCAGTCTGGTTCCCGAGGAAGGTCACACCTGCCAGAACCAAGCCCAGCCTTCAGCGGGACGCTGGCACTCACACGCATCGCGGGCTCCTCAGCAGCTGGGGCAGGCCCAGGCCCCAGGGAGGACAGGTGCTGGGAGCGGCTGCTTCAAGTGTGCTCCGCAAGCTCGAGGATTCCCAGGAAAACGTGAGCGCAACGAGGAGGGATTGAAAGGTGTGATGCGAGCCCGCTTGGGCTGCAGGGCTGAGAATGGCACTGGAATGGGCACCCCGTCAGCAGAGTCTGACCGAAGAGGCTGGTGGCCTGAGGACCAGCACGAGACAGAAGCACCGGGGACAGAGCAGCAGAGGAAGACGGGCCCGCGGGGCGTGTCAGTGCGTCCCCAGGGAAGCCGAGGGGCCAGGGCCAGGGTCTGGCAGGGCCGCCAGGAGAGGGAGGACTGTGGGAGCCGAGGGGGGTCACAGCTGCACCCTGACAAAGCGCACACACCTGGGGGCAGCCAGCGGGGCCGTCCAGCAGAGTGGGCGCCTGCTAGCGTGTTCGTGCTGTTGCTGTGTGTGTGTTGCTGTAGGGTGCACTGCTCTCTGGTGAAACATGGCACAGGAGAGACAGAGAGAGGCCCCTGGGGGTGGCCACCCACAGTCCTCCTCCTCTGCTCTCCTCTCAGGTTCGGGACCAGTCCACTGAAACAAAGGCGGTTCTTCAGTGCGACTGGCAGTGCGCTGGCCTGATGCACATATTTCTCCAAATGTGGCTCCTGGTTTCGGAGCGATGTGTCAGTGTGCTCACAGGACACTGCCACGTCCACAGTAGGACACTGCCACTCCACAGTAGGACAGTGCCACGTCCACAGGACCCTGCCACGTCCACAGTAGTACACTGCCACTCCACAGTAGGACACTGCCAGTCCACAGTAGGACAGTGCCACGTCCACAGTAGGACACTGCCACGTCCACAGTCGGACACTGCCAGTCCACAGGACAGTGCCACGTCCACAGTCGGACACTGCTTTAAGGCTCCATTGCAGATTGGTTTGCAGCAGCTGCTACACTTCATTATACTGCAGTGCTACAATGTCTGACAGCACTCCTAAGTATTTCTGCTTGCTTTATCCTCACTCTGATAGCAATTTTAGGAGTTTTAAGTTTTCAAATGCTTAAGCTATGAAAGTGAGTGTTCTAAATTTTTTCTTCATCAATGATTTCAAATTTTCTTCAGTTACACCACAAGTTTTTTTTTTCTTAAAGAACTATTTTATTTAACTTTATTTACTTATTTAATTTGTCCAAAGAGGGAGCATGAGAGAGACAGAAAGTGAGAAAGCAGGCCACCAGGTCCAGGACTCGCACCGGCCGGCCACGTGGGTGTCCAGCACCTTTAACCACGGTGCACCTGCCGGCCCCTTGAGCCGCGAGTGCCAGTGGCACCCTGATGAAATACGCTGGTGGGCACGGTGACCTTTCAACAGCAGCCTTGGGCTCTATTTGCATCTAGTATTTTTGTCCCCAGCAACAGGGCAGGCACATTCTGGCTGGGAAAAAGTGACTCTGCGCTCCGGAACTGCAGACTTGATGTAAGAGTCTCCTTTATAAAATACAGGTTTCCTCCTGTGCAGGCTCTGGCATGGCAGCGAAGTCTCTGCGGATCCAGGAGCGCCCGGCTTGCTCTGATAACCGAGGTGTCGTGTGCTGTTAGAAACGAGTCTGGAGGCCGCACGTGGCCGGGGTTAGGGTGCTGGGCTCCCACATGCTGACCACGGTTCGAGACTCAAAGCTGGCAGCTTGCTTTTGTTTCTCTGTTCAAATTTAAAAATAATGATAAACACAAATCTCTTAAAAACGTGCCTGGATCTCCTTCGTTCCAGGCATTGCGGAGTCGCTGCATGGACAGGGGGTCAGGGCCTGCGGCGCCGGCTCCGCCCTACAAACCCGGGGTGGGGGGCGACGCCGGAACCGGGGCGGCAGGAGCCTGGGCCCGCCCCCCCGCGCCGCCGTTCTGCGGCAAACACGGC